GACCTTTCTGAGCTATATAATAATTTCCAAGACAAAGGGAAATCACTAGTAATCTACTGCCTAGTAAGAATCTACCTCAAAAAGAAACCAAATCAACAAATGGTTTCATTTGGAAACTTCAACATTCTTAAACAAAATATGGTGTACCTGGTTCATTTGAAAATACTAGGATTTCAGGAGACAAAATGAATTTTGAGATGTGAGTACCAATTTTCTAAAGAGATCTGAAGAGATCCCAAGTAACCAGCACCTAGGAAAATAAGTATATATATTTAACTCTTATTTTTTCTTATTTGCGCAGGTGTTCTAAAGAATTGCATTCCTTAACTAAATGCTTACAGAAGGCAGACTTTGGCAATCTTATTCATTAAAGACCTGGTAGGTAGTTATGCATAACACTTGTAAGGAATCATTTGAGAGTAGGTCATAAAAGAGAGACAAATGCTAACCCTGACTTCAAGGTCTTCTCTCTTATATTCATTTATTCTTGCTTGCAATAACAAGAGAGAGGAGCCAAATCACCAAGTAGATACATGGTTATTTGTTAGGGACTCAAGCATAGATGCTAGGTCAATTTGTAAACTGAAGAAGGAACTTTTGAACAGATAGAAAAAATCATCTTTTACTTTAACACTCTGGTTATGAAGAAGGAAAGGGAAGAGTTTTAAGAACTTAGCTTTGGCATACCGCCAACAAGCTAACGCCTTAAGTTAAGATAGGATTAAGATCTGGACACAGTGTGCAGACTGGTGGAGGTCACTACTTTTCTCAAAAAAAGCAGGTGACATGCCTTTTGGGTAAAATTTAATGAGAGTTGATTTAGAGACAAATAAACATTATGCTTAATATAAGAAAAATATACTTCTACTCATGGGGATTTTCTTATAAAATCTGGGAAACAATAATTGTCACACATGTATATAATCATTAGTAATAGATACAAGTTTAATCTCTTCTTTATATGCAAGATTTTGTGATGCTGAAAATCCAGAGTAGTTGTTTTAGGAGAGTTTGATACTTATATTTAATTAAAATCAAAGTAACGCACTTTGTAAGATGCTTTCTATCCACTCTCTACTCTTCTTAAGCTTTACTTATTAATTAATTCTCAAGAGAGAGTGGCAGGTGCTATAGAGAGATGGTGTCTTCAGGTAGCCCAGGTTGAATGAGACTCATTGTGTAGTCCAAAATTAAGTGGGACTCTTGATACTCTAAGGTCTGATATTGCCAGCATGCAACACCACCATGAGATCATATCCCCTAAATAGTTAGAGGAATTGAAGCTAGTTACAAAGGACAAAAAGAAATTGTCCCGAGCCACTTGGATCCCACATGACAAGACTGCTTCTGACTGCATGAGTGCATAGTTACCATTCTCACGTTTGTTCAGCCTTTAAATTAAAGACAGTCAACAGCTGATAAAACAAGGTTTGCTTTTCTTTCAAAAATATAACACAATTCCTACATTTTACTCCAAGGAAAGTGTTATTTCACTTAACTTTTTCATTCCAGTACTCATTAATTCCACCAAAGCTTTAGTAAAGGTTGGAGTCATAACCAAGCGCAACTTCCAACTTCTGTTGATTCATATGTGTAAAGTTCACACAACGTGGTCTTGTGATAGCGAAAAGCAATCTAAAGTATGAATAACCTTTTAATAGTATTTGCTCAGTAAGTCATATTGCAGATAAACAATTCAAGTTAGATATCTTGGAGTGCAGTTTCTCTCCGGAATAACCCTTCCACTTCTGCTTTGAAACTAATCTTGCCATTTCACCAACCTCTACTCCCATCTGACTGCCCCTAAGTACGCACGCACTTACTTCTGGATAATGCACCTTGAATTTTTTTTCTGGTTTATAGAGTTCATTGCCAATTGCTCACTTATTTCATCCTCATTGGGTCAAAATATTGAGCATCTCATTATCTATGTAGACACTGATTCACTTTTAGTCACTTTATATTAATCGTCAAAGTCATTTTGTAGCTTTTTTAGAAATAGGGACATGGTTGTAAAACTATTACTGTTATTTTTCTGTTTCTTAATTGGATTCACAAGGAATCTTTTCATTGGCTGATATGTGTACATATGTCATTCCAACTATTTGGGAGGCAGAACCTATTTCAACAGACAGAGACCTTTTCAAGAAGATCACATATTTTGAGACCAAACTTGGAAATCTAATGAAACCCTGTCTTGAAATAAAATATAATAAGGGTTGGGAATGTGGCTTAGTAATCATGAGTTTACTTACCACAGAAAATTAATAAATACATCAATAAATATGTAGAACAGTTGGTCTACTTTTCCTTAAAAAATACTAGAAATTATTTTGATCATCATACTAGCTTTTCTTTTTTCCTATTTCTTCATCTTTCTCTCTCTTCCATTTTCCCTCCTTCTGTCCCTCCCTCTCCTCTTCTTTCTTATACAAATTATTTTGGAATTAGACATGATCCTGTGTCTGTCACTTCCAGGCTCTTAAGTCATTGTCATTGAGTTTCAGTATTTTAATCTCTGATATAAGGAGGTAGGTAGTTTCAGTGAAGATAGAAAGCCTGAAATCTCATAACTGAATCACTGAGAGGAATGTCCAGTAATGCTAAGAAGAACTTTAAAAATCCTGAATATATTAATTGCTATTGATTTTTATTGAGCTCTACATTTTTCTCTTCTCCCCTCCCTGCCTCTCCACTCCCCTTCAGCCCTCTCCCAAGGTCCTCATTAATTGCTATTCTTATGAAATAGTTGAGTGTGGCTATCAAATTAGACAAAACTCTAATTGTAAAATGTTAGATACTACAATAGTTACTCAAGAAATTAGACTGATTTCTCAAGTTTCTGCATACTAATAGTGTTATTTCAGGTATTGGACATATGTGTATTTGATCCAAGTTTCAATATGTTCTCTGTTTTTAATATTACTATGTTTAATGCTTTTTTGTCAATCAGTAAATGTGTAAAAGTGAATATGTAGAAACATGTAAAAGTCTTAAAAGGAATATAAAATGGGTAGAATTAAATTTGAATTATCATCCTATCAATGAATCTATAAAAAAATCTTATGCTAACAAAACACCTGGGACTGGTTGAAGACAAAGCAAGACAAAATTAGAAAACATTTTCCTAGAATAATCAATGTAATGTATTCTAAAAAGGCCATCTTAATTTAAAGAGATTGAGTTCTGTGGAAGTTGGAATGCCTGGGATTGAATCCTGTATTGAGCATGATTCAATAGCCTGCTGTGTGATTTCCTTTATTCCTCCTGAAACATGACTTACATTGAACATATAAGTCAAATGATTTCAGCTTCACAGTAGCCAATTTCATCTTATGCACAATAGATGTCTTACATATAAAACACATTCATTATGTCAATGGTAAGTGTAATTTCTGGTCATAAGAAACATACTATAATTGCCTTTATCACTGGGAGACACCTAACTCCATACCTCTAGAAATAATAAAACAATTAATACACACTGATTTTCAAAGGAAAATATGTTTTTCCTTCTCGGGTTCATATAGGTATGGCAGTGCTAAAGTAATACTGTACTTAGGAATGTTATTGTATGTTTATCAAGCATGTATTTTCAAATTTATTTAAATTTTTTATATGAGATTATAAATCAGAACTGCTAAATAGAGGGCTTAGAAGTCTACATCTAACTGGCAACCTAGTTATTTATTATCTATATTAAAATGATAATCCTCTTGCTTGTTGGAGAGCTTATTGCTTGTTTGAAGGAGCTCCACACAGAATGGATACAGAATAATTAAATTGTCCTTAAATATTTATTGCCTTAATGTTAAACCCAAGACACTTGGACCATATATCTTCAGACAGAAAACTGGTTCATATTATAATGACATCAGTGATGTAAAACTTAAGGTTATCTTACTTTCCATTCATGGTGTGTTCATAATAAAAATATCAAACATTCAAAATAGATACAATACATCTAATAAAAATATTTAAAGTAAATTTTAGATGAGCTTAAATATAGCACCTTAATCATTACTTTTAATAGTTCTGAAAGCAAAGTAAACTGGATAACTTAAATTTTGCATAATGATTCCTTTTAATTTCTAAATTATAAAGATTATTTTGTAAAAGTTTCTTTGAAAACATTTGTTAAATGGCATAAATAATAGTATAAAATGTACAGTTCATAGATGTAACATTCAATACTCTCAAGTAATTTTACTCAAATAAACAAGTCAGAAAAATAAAAAAAAATTGTAAAATCATTTATGTTTTGGCCTTCAGCTACATAACACTTTTAATTTCTATGTAGTGAAATATACCTATGTCTTAACTAATAAAAGTGATGGGAGCTTCCAACTGTATATGAGACCTGAAAGTTACAGATGTAAATTGCTAAGCCAAGGGTGATAGGAAGTAGCCACATTTGAAGTGCTCATTACAGTTTCTAGTTTTATTCAATTGAATTCATGAGTTTATTGCATAAAACTTTCCTGGACAGTGCATTTATAATATCGATTTAAGACAATCATTGTCAGTATACATACATACTTATATAAAATTATCATGTGAAATGGATACTTTGAAGTGTATGCATATGCAGCTGGCACACTGTTGGTTCTGCCAAAGATAGTGAACTAGCAGTTAAAATAAAACATATAAAAAATGGAACTAAGTTAAAATTACACTAAGTTTAATAGATATTGATTTGTATCAAAATTATTTTAATTTCACATAATAAGAAATAAACATAATGACCAATTTTTGTTATATCCAGTCATTATTCTGAGTCAAACTACTTATTAAAATAGAGGCAATTTAGTTTTAATAGAATAATATATTAGCATGGATTTAATGTTTAATAATATTAAGTCTGTTTAATAGTTATGTTGGACAATAACTAATCAAAATTTTAATGAAGCAAATTAAAACCTATATTTCCTCTTAAAAATGCAAAGATACTGAAATATTAAAAGAATAAAAATTTATATAGAAGTAATTAATGTACTCACATAGTCCCCGCAGAACATTTTGAAGAGAGTGAGCAACCAGTGTAGATCACAAGAATTTCAGTAAAGAAACCAAATGTAAGTTTGTTCCCTTTGTGGTCAGAATGGCTGATGTTCACTGTACTGCCAAATTTAAATATGTGCACCTGATCAACCCAGTATCTCAGACAAGAAAATTTTGAGGCAAATCTGGAACAGTGTGACTCAAGGCACAGTATTTATACTTGGCTATCAATCATATGTAAATAGATTACAGAGATAGAATTGTTACACAAAATAAATAGAAGCACTAGTCCAGCCTTTTTTTTACGTGTTGATTTAAGGAATCTACATTAGCTAAATAATGAAAAAGTGTAACCTTTTGTAAACCTGATGACTCATGGAAAGGCAACCCAATTAGGGGCAAGGTTAATGATTTATGTTCTGATTAATTATTATTAACACCCAGACTCTCTGGGGTTCTCTAGCCCTAGCTCCATTCTAGGCTGTGATTTTTTTTTTATTGAAAAAAAATTTCCGCCTCCTCCCCGCCTCCCATTTCCCCCCCTGTCTCCCTTTTCCCTCTCCCTCCTCCCACTCTTCTCCTCCTCCCCCCATTCTTCTCCCCCTCCCTCTCCAGTCTGAAGAGCAGTCAGAGTTCCCTGCCCTGTGGAAAGTCCAAGGTCCTTGCCCCTCCATCCAGGTCTAGGAAGGTGAACATGCAAACTGGCTAGGCTCCCACAAAGCCAGAACATGAAGTAGAATCAAAACCCCGTGCCATTGTCTTTAACTTCTCATCAGCCCTCCTTGTCCGCCATGTTTAGAGAGTCCAGTTTTATTCCATGCTTTTTCAGTCACAGTCCATCTGGCCTTGGTGAGCTCCCAATAGATCAGCCCCACTGTCTCAGTGGATCGGTGTACCTCTCGTGGTCCTGACTTCTATGCTCATGTTCTCCCTCCTTCTGCTCCTCATTGGGACTTTGGGAGCTTAGTCCGATGCTCCAGTATGGGTCTCTGTCTCTATCTCCAAAACACCAATGATATCCTTTGCTGGAGAGGCTGTGGAGAAAGGGGTACCCTCATCCATTGCTGGTGGGAATGCAAACTTGTGCAACCACTTTGGAAAGCAGTGTGGCGGTTTCTCAGGATATTTGGGATCAACCTATCCCTGGACCCAGCAATACCACTCTTGGGAATATACCCAAGAGATGCCCTATCATATGACAAAAGCATTTGTTCAACTATGTTCATAGCAGCATTATTTGTAATAGCCAGAACCTGGAAACAACCTAGATGTCCTTCAATGGAAGAATGGATAAAGAAAGTGTGGAATATATACACATTAGAATACTACTCTGCCATAAAAAACAATGACTTCTCGAATTTTGCATGCAAATGGATGGAAATAGAAAACACTATCCTGAGTGAGGTAACCCAGACCCACAAAGAGGATCATGGGATGTACTCACTCATAATTGGTTTCTAGCCATAAATATAGGTCACTGAGTCTATAATTTGTGATCCTAAAGAAGCTAAATAAGAAGGTGAACCCAAATAAAAACATATAGTTATTATCCCTGCTATGGGAAATAGACAAGATTGCTGGGCAGAAAACTGGGATCTGGGGTGGGGCGGGATGGGGGTAAGGGGAGATGGGTAGAGAAAAGTGAGAAGGGGAGGATTGGGGGAACTTGGGGAAACGGGATGATTGGGGATAAAACAAGGTTGGATAGAGGAGAAGGGAATCACATAACTTAATTAAGGGAACCACCTTAGGGTTGGTAAGAGTCATGAACCTAGAGTGGCTCCCAGGTGCCCAGGGCAATGTCCCCAGTTAGTTCCTTGGGCAGCTGAGGATAGGGAACCTGAAATGACCCTTTCTTATAGCCATACTGATGAATATCTTGCATATCATCTAGGCTGTGATTTTATTAAGACTTTCTCAAGAAAAATATTTTTAAAGTGTTCTATTAGTCATTTAAAAATTTCATACTATGCATTTTGAACATATTCACGGCTATTATACACTGCTATTACTTACCATTTTATTTCCTTTCCTTCTAACCCAGCTTTGAAATTTAGTCTTCATTTATTTTTTGTTTTCTTCCTTTATCCATTGAGTCCAATTTGTGTTGCCCAACTGCTTGGAGTAGAGCATGTTCTGGTGAGTGCTTGACCTACTCAAAGTTGTGTTATTGAAGAGATGTATCAGATGACAATAACTCTGCAGCTAATGGTGAGGTTTCCTGTCTACCTTCCCTTCTCTGTGTGAGAATTTTGTCTGTTTGGAGCTTTTCATGTCCTGCACATGCTGTAAGTGCATATGTGCCTTGTGTTTGACGAACACTGCCTTCTTAAAGTGATCTTCCACATCTGGCTTTTACTGACTTTTTCTTCATTCTTCCATGAAGATCCTCAAACCCTGGGGTGGGGATGTTATATGAATGTCCCACTTATGACTGAGAACTTCAAGATAGTTTAATTTTTGTCTGTTGACTAGTTGGGGGACTCTTTGCTAATTGCCATCTAACAAAATACTTCTCTGATTTGCGTTGAGGGATGTTCTGATCGCTGAGAATCACAATAAATTCTTAGGAGTCTTTTTAATACTATGCCCATTTAGCTGAGTAATAGTTACTTTACATCTGGTCTTTGTTAAAGCATACTGTATTTAGGACCAAAGTGATTGTCTGGTAATAGAAATATTTCAAGAAATACAGTTGCCATTATTTTTCATGTTTTTTGTAAAGTATATTATTTGCATGCTTTATTAAATCAGGAGGAAATAAGTGTTCCAAGTTCTACAAAACAAAGAGTGTATTAGGAGCTGTCTACCTTCATAATTTTTATATACTATTCTAAAAATAAAAAAGAAGAAAAAAGAATAATTTTTACTTGAAACTAATTTCTGGTTTTGAAAGTTTCTAAAGATACTATATTTAAATAATTAAAAAAACAATATCTAATATTTTATCAATAAAATTGAAACAAACTACCAAAAGATTAGCTTGCCCTCTTATTTAATATTTGAATATTTCATCTTTCTTCTCTTTGAACATTTATCTCCATATTATTTATTAAAACTTATCAAATAATATGCTTATGTATGCTATCAATTTATGTTAAGAAATTAAATAATCTTAATGAATTAATTTATGTTAATAAATTTAGTTAAATTGTGAATGCATTTTTGGGGAGTTTACATTATATACTTATAAATTATATTTCTATTTTCCTTTTCTTTGTTTATCAAATTTTCAATTTTTAATCTTTTTATGAATTTTTAAATTTATTTTTATATTGATTTATTTTTAATCTATGACTATCTTTACTCTGTTGCTTTAAAGACCCTTTTCATTATAGCATTAACTTTATTTTATGACTCTTTATATTTTTTCTTCTCTATTCCAAATCTATGTACATTTATCCAACACTATGACTCATCTGGATTTGTCTTTATTGCATATCTATAATTTTTAACTGTCCAGGAGAACTTTTCAAAATGCTGAGCACTTTTTAAAACTCAAGCTGTGCCAGTAGTAGGGTATATATGGTACTTTCTTCTTGCCCTCCCACTCTAAAACTCAAGCTGTACCATTATTATGATATATATGGTATGTCTGCTTGCTTTACACAGTCCAGCATGGTGGACCTGTTTACTGCAGCTGAGAACCAAGCCTGCATCCCCAATCTCAGGCACACAGCCAGTTCATGTTGCCATTGAGTAAGCTGCAGCAGTCTGCTCACAAACCCCATTCAAATATGTGGTCTCCCGAAAGAGCCAATGGTCATTGGTGGCAGCATATCCCAGAAAGTCTACATTTCAAAATGGCATGGCTCTTTTTATGCTGCTGCTGTTGAGTCAGGAAAACCTCTCTTAAAGAAGCTGTTCCATGCCATCAGCAAACAGCAAGAACCTGTGTTAAACTCTGTACTTTTGTGTCTCAAATTCTTTTTCAAACTCTCTCAGGTTTTCAGTGGATTTAGCTGGCCACGTGGGTGCCAATTTGTTGGGAGAGAGTTTCTTGTTCATCCCAGCCACCCAAAACTGAAATAACCACACAGAAACTATATTAAATAAAACACTGTTTGTCCCATTAGCTCTAGCTTCTTATTGGCTAACTCCTCTATTAATTTAACCCATTTCTATGAATCTGTATATTACCACGTGACAGTGGCTTACCAGCAAAGATTTGGCATGTCTGACTCTGGTGGCTTCATGACATCTCTCTGACTCTGCTCTTCTTTTTTCCCCAGCATTCAGTCCAGTTGTCCCTACCTACCGAAGTTCTGCCCTGTCAACAGGCAAAGGCAGTTTCTTTATTCATAGCATATAGAGGGGACTTCCACATCAAGTGACAATGTACAATCCTTCTTGATACAAATTTTCCCTCAGTACCACAGCTTCTTAGGTTTACTATGACTTTATTTTTTTTATCTTCTCCTTCCTCTTTACTATAAATTCCACTTAAATTCCATTTTTACATCTACCTTATTCTGTTTTCTTTAGTATTTTCACTAATAGAAATTATACTTCTTTTTAAACTTTGATCCTTTGTGGATTTCACATCCTACCTTCTGATCTCGCTTATGTCCCTGTCACCTCAAATCTGCTTTCCAGCCTTCTCTGCCCCCAAACAAATGCTGAACACAAAGAAAGGAAACAAAACAAGGAAAGAAAAGAAAGAAGACTCTTGTCGTGGAGGCTCTCATGTGGCCAGTTTTAGTCCATTTATCTTTACTTGCAAGTGTTCATTGACACAAGTCATTGATCTGGCTCTAGGCCTCAGGTTTCTGCCTCACTACTGATAATGGGTTCTTACTGGGAATTCTCTTAGTCATCCTATAATTTTCTTTTGTCATGGAGATCCTGCTGTTTTGGATCTGTAGTTTTGTTATTTTTAATGTGTATCTACCACTAAAATAAAATATAAAAGAACAGAAAATTTATCGGTCCTATTGACAACTATAATCAAAACAGTATTACATTGTTTTAAAGAGCATTCAGTAACTAGTTTTTGTTTGCTTGACCTTGAAGATGGAAGTAGGATGTACTTCCATCCTAGGTTGTAACTTCATTAGCCTTCTACTGGTGAACATATTTTCTTGTAGTACTCTCGACCAGTGATAAGCATAACAGTGTACCTGTGAGCTTATGGGCCAATGC